TACATTACCTTGGGTGAGATGATGGAATAACATCTGAGCAAGACACAAGAAGCCTTTCTGGAATGTGGAAGGATATATTATCTAGTAATGCTGCAATAAACATCAAATGGGGTTTTTAAATGTCTTCCCTTTGCCTTTCATAATTTAACCTATTTGCTTGCTGCATTTAATAATATCTCTCATGAAAATAATTACCACAATTCTGGAAGTAACAAGAAAACTCTATTTTTGGATTACTTGAATTTTTCATCCTTGTCTTTATCATAGCTAAGTTCAGAAATGTGTTCCCAATCTACTTGGACAAGATTATACATACACATAGGAAAATATTTAAATAAAATAATAAACAATCTATTTAGAGTCAAAAAGCTAGACTATGTTCATGGATCTATTAGTGCACTTAAAAAAAATAGTATTATTAAATGCAATAAATTTCACAGAAAATTAGTCTGGCTTATTTCTACATTAATGAGTTAATTTCTACAACAAAAACAGGAAAAAATATTTATAATAAATTTAAATTGAACTAGGTTTTTCTTATTCCAATGCTTAAATTGTATATTTTGATAAAAATCTGAAGGCTTTTATATAAAGAATTGGATTAGAGACTGATTTAGCCAATTTCCAAATGCCATGGGGCTGGAGGAAGTAGCTAGAAGGGCATTACAGAGAGGCAGTCGGGAGACCAGCAGCTGGCATAATGATTATGGCACTGGATTCCCACATAGTAGAGCATGTTTTGAGTCCTGTACTTTACAGCTTAAAGTTCATGCCAGGGCACATGTACAGATGTGTCCAAAATCCTGAGAGGAGAATAGAGAGCAGTGTTACCATCCCCCACTAGGGTGATTTCTCATTTTCCATCTCTCTGTCTTTCTGCACAACATACATGCCCTATGACAAAAATCACTCTTAAATAAATAAATAAATAAATAAATAAATAAATAAATAAAAGTCATTTAGACTCATTCTCACATTTATTTTTGACAATAAATTCTGAACCAGAAAAAGAAGTTTAAATGTTTGACTCTTGAATTATTCTTAGTCACTTGTAAGACCTTTTTAAATAGGAGCTATATCAAATAGTCACTGAAAGCAAAGCTTAAGGCAGGAATAGAAGTTAAAGAAATAATTTACATTGCTGAACCTCATTTAAATAACTTAAGTAGTTGTGCTTCACTAAGAGTAAAGACAGATATTGACATTTTCTGTAATAAATTGCATATTAGAAACTTTAACTTTCATAGTTATTACACTTTCACATCATGGTATAAGCGTTTGTGTACATTCTTAAGCTGATAATTATTTAAAAATCTAAAACATAACTTTCAAAAGACAACTGAGTTAAATATTAATGGCATAAGTCTATTTGATGTTCACTCCTATCCTCTTCAACAGCAAAATAATACTTTTTCAGAAAAATCACTTCAAGTAATCTTCAAAATATTAATCACAAGTAAAAAGTATCTAATTTGTTTTTTTTGAGAAGTTTTTGCTATAGGGTGCCTGCACTCACCAGAAATAGAGAGTCAGGGAGACGGGAGACAGAAAGTGAGAAATCACCCCCTCCCAGGGGGGATGGCCACATCACAATCCCTTCTCCTCTATTTTCCTCTTGGGATGTTGGGCACACATGCACATGCGACCGGCGTGAGTTTAAGTCACCAGGTCTGGGACTCAAACTGTGGTCGACTACATAGGAGTCCAGCAACGTAGCCATTAAACCATCTGCCGGTCCCTAATTTTCTTTCTTTATAAAAAATAACAACTATTTAGCATTCACCTCTAGGTACTTTACAAATATATTTTTACTAAGAGATTTTTCTGAATATGGATGAAGAAGATCAATGAACTAGTTTAATACTAAAAAGGTCACAAATGAAATATTTATATTTTAAAATCTAATTAACCAAGCCTATATCACTTTTCAAGTGATTGTATTCTCAAGGGAATAATCATTACTCAATAAGAGCTATTTTCCTGCCTTAGAATTCTGATGAAAAGAGTTATCTATACAGATTAGTTTAACATTTAACTTTAGATGGTTTCTCTCTTTTTTTCTTTTCCACTGAGACATCATTAATCTGCAATTTTGTAATGGTATTGTAACAATAACAATAGCCAATATTTTTTAATTTATTGTTTTTGTTTTCATATTCAATACTGTGTATCATTAACAGCCAGTACTTTTTAAAATTTGTCTTTGCCTAGACAATAGCGTTAGGGATGTTAAGCATATCCGCCGCTCACAGTCTCCCAGCAACACTGTGACCTGTGTTGTGGTTGTTTTAATAACTCTCTCTGTTTGAATACAGTTTGTTGTTTCCATAACTTTCTTTGTTTTAACAAAGAGATATCTCAGTCTTAGAGAAATTACATGGCTCACCCCAAGGACATACACAGTAAGTAATGGAACAAAGATTTCTTTACTCCTGATGTAGTCCATTTAAGTGCAAAGTAAGAGTTTTCTTACTTAGAAATGATAAAAGCAAATTGTATAATGAATCGGATATATCAGCCATGACCTGTCGGATTTACCACCTAGAAGGAACATAAGTTAAGAGGGGGTTCATACCAGTAGGGTCATCAGGGCAAAGTATGTGCGGTGGCTATGTGTTTTCCACTCTCCTTTGCTTAACTTCCGTTGTTGAATTGGGAACAGTAAACTAAAAATGATTAACTCTGAATTTGAAAGAAAATATTATAGTATCATATATAGTTAGAGATGTTTCTTACGTAGTTGTCTTGTATTTCAATAATAGCTTCCAAAGAGAATAATATATATTTGGAGATCGTTAATGGGAGAAATATATATACAAAGATTTGTTAAAAAACATGTTAACAGAAAGCATAGTTTGCTTTATATATTATTTTTAGAGCATGAAGCACTAGTTATTAAATCTTGTATATATTTGAAATTCAAAAAAATTGAAATTTCTTTCTCTATTCACTAGCATTTTACAAAACAAAACAATAAAAAGAGCTAACTCCCCATAGTTGAAAAATACTACTCTTTCTCTAGTCTTTCTTCAAAGTGGGTTTAGAAAATCAGAAAACAATTCTGTGGAAACCAGTAACTTCTTGGTATATTAGCTAAGTCATTTCCCTAAACTTTTGCCATCTAACTAGCATGATAAAATTTTATAAAGGAGATGTGAGAGCGGCATAAAATTAATTTTTCTATAATAATGTTATTACCTGTTTCTCTTTATCAAAAATAAAATAATTATATGAAAGCACACTTTGCTTTGGCACGTATGGTCCAAGATCATTGACGTGGTAGTTAAGGAATTTCCATTTGACACAGAGTGGAGACACGAGGAGTACACTGTGTTCTAGCACAGGTAAATCACAAAATTGCCTGGATACGGTCCCGGCCACCATGTCACAGACAGGAAAATTCTTTTTTTTTTTTTTTGGAGAGATGATTTTTACTGTAGGGCTCGAGCGTTCGCCAGACAGACAGAGAGAGACATAGAGACAGAAAGCGAGAAATCAACCCCCAGGGGGGATGGTCAAGCCGCAATCCCTTCTCCTCCATTCTCCTCTCGGGATCTTGGGCACGCACGCACACGCGCCCGGCGTGAGTTTTAAGCCACCGGGTCCGGGACATGAACCGCGGTCGATTACGTGGGAGTCCAGCGACATAGCCATTACGCTAACTGCTGGTTCCCAGGAAAATTCTTATTAGGCAATCTGCAATCTCTGAGCATGTTAAGAAATACAAATAAAATAAATCTATTTTCTGGACAACATAAAATAAACATAGACCTAAGACTCTGTCATTCTATAGTAAAGCAAACTAAAATTCAGACAGATGAGAGATATGCAAGATTGCCCTACTAGTGTTTGATTTAGGATAGCAGCATATATTCTGATTCCTAGATAAGTATTCAAGTAATTGTTAAATATTAGCACTAATTTTAAAACATGATTTGAACAAACTTCATTTTACATACACATTTTCTCTTTCAGGAATGATTTTCTCACAATTTCGCAAATTTACTTTTGTATATGTATATGTCACACATAATCCACATCAGTTACAAGGAATATGCTATTTTACTGAATAATATAGTTTTTATCATTTAAAAAGATAATGACAATTTTATAATGTTATATGAGTAAATAGTTACATCATCATGTTAAAAATTATTTTGAACACCTATAAAATATATTTATCTTCTTTTTTCCTTGTAGATAACACAGTATCACCAGTTTAATTTAGTTTTTATTACATAGTCCTTATTTTCCTGTTCATATTGTCAGAACTGTGTAGTCTTCTTTATATTCAACTACAGATGTGTAACACTGGGCTCGTTTTCTTCACCACTTACCCGTCTTGCGATTTCTACTTTATCAGTCAGCATATCTTATCCTATTTCCAATTACTTCTTTGTGGATATTTCTGTATTGCTTTTGGGGATTTTCAGCAACCGCATGCCAAGAAAAGTGGCTACCATCCCTACTACGTTCTCATAATGTGAACTAATAGAGAGCCTTAAGATCCATCACTAAATGTTTGTCTCATGCCTGAAATGATATGTTTAAATATTAACTGAGAACAACTGGGAATAATAACCCAAGTAAATCACTTAATCTAAAACTGTGATTTAAAATCTTACACTGACTTGGGCATTTTTCATTTAACGTTGTCATGACATAGTAATAGTGAATTTTTGATAAAGTAGTGATATGATAATACTCTTTGTCTTTCCCACTGGGAATCAAGATTTATATTGAAGAAAAGAGTTACTTAGACTTCTTTAAATAGAAGAGGATTTGGAAAATATTTTAAATCATTAACACTTCAGTTTCTGAAATAGTGTTTGAAAATCAAAAGTAGGTACTGTATCAGGAAACTGATGACTGCCTGTTACTACTGCTGTTTTCCTGTCTCTTTAGTTTAATATTTCTTGGATAAAATTTCTTTTTTGAATAATTATCTAATAGTTTCTAATTTGTGGGTTTAATAGAACTGTTTTCTTCTGTTTTTTAAGACACACTTTTTAATGGTCTTGGGCTTGGAGCAGTCATCGGCCTGGGAGTTGCTGCGCTTTTACTAATCCTTGTGGTAACAGACGTCAGCTGCTTCTTCATTCGACAATGTGGGCTACTGATGTGCATCACCAGAAGAATGTGCGGGAAGAAAAGTGGCTCCAGTGGCAAAAGTAAAGAACTTGAAGAAGGAAAGGCTGCATACCTGTGAGTATGGGGCATTTAACTCCTTTTGCCTTAAGCAAGAATCGCAGTCGAGCATGACGAGCATGACGACTGTACGTGGAAGCTCTGCTTTCTTAGCAGAGCAAAGTGTGACTCATGACATTGGGTATGCCCTCCTTGCTTTCTGACTTTGAATCTATTTAATCTTAAATACAATGTCCTCTACAGCCAAATGCCTCCGAAAACAATCTATTCATACATCAATTCCAAAGTAGGGTCCTCACTGAAAAAAATGCAGCTTAATTTAATGATCAATGACAGATAAATGGTCAGCAGACAGTCTCACAAATGTATTCATTTATGATTTCTCCCATCATTTTTCAATTTATATGGAATAAAAAAAAAGAAGAAAGTTCCGTGAGTTAAAAACTCAACTGGGTTAAAACATAATAAAATATGGCAACTCCTGCAAGTGTAAAACGTGCCTACATATACGTTTCAAGATTTCTTGTATATTAAATATTGTTAAAACAGATTTTGAATTTACTGTTTCAACTTTTGATTCAGAGATGACTATATTTCATAATTTGGAGCTCTCTGGGGAGTCTCATTTAATTAAACAGAATATGAATTCTAAGAAAAGATGGAAAGCACATGTACCCCATAGCAAAAATCTCTCCAATAAAAAAGAAAAAAAATTTGAAATCCTCTTACAAAATTTCCACATTTATAAATGAAGAGAAAATAAATTTTAGAACATGTTTTATTGCTTATAAAAATGAGAATATGGAATATCTAATACTAAACTCTCTTTAAAATTTAAAATTATTTCACCCCCACTCATGGATTGTTTAGTAATTAATTCTGTAGCTAATGATAATGTCTCAGGAGTAATGTCTCAGGAGTTTGAGGAATCCAGAATTTCATGTATTCAATGAAAGTGGAAATTGTATTTTTGGTTTATTCCTTCACTAATGCTACTCTTTTCTGTGATGAGAAACTTTACGTTGATCAGATTTCATGACTTTACCCTATTTTTTAATTTTCTTCAACTATCTTGGAGCATTTGATGTTGTTTACAAACTTCCCTTGAATATATATCATCTCCTTCAAGATTCTCTATCTTTTTTGTGTCTGATTAGATCTGATCTTTGATTCTTCAGGGTTTTGTTTTGCCTTTTTTGTTGTTGTTTATAATTTATCTTGTAATTATAAATGGCATCTCTATATGGATGAATAGCAAATGAATACACATCTCTGGTTGTCATCTCTCTCTTGGTGTCTGGATACCTGATAACTGCTATGTCTAAACAAAATGGCAATAACTAATGCTCAAAATGTTCAAGACTTCACCTAGAATGATCTCCCGAATTGTATTTTTATTTCTGTGATCTCCATTTAGATCAACAGCAAAAGTATATTTTAAGTAATGCTTCAGTCCCAGACAAAAATTAGATTTCACTGTACAGTTGAATACTTTAATGAGAGATGTGATAAATGCAATGGAATCAATATACTGTCTAACATCTCTTGCTTTCTTCATCACAGCATATTTTACTTCTTAATAACTGTACTTTTGCATTGCATAATTAATTGAATTAAACAGGTTACTAAATTTAGTTTGGATTAATCAATTATGTTTGCTAAAGATCATGTGTTTTCAAAAGAGAGAAGCAGAAAGAGAGGGAGAGAAAGAAAGCATGTACCAATGGAGTGTGACCAGGTTGCAATTCCTTCTCCTCCACTTTTTCATACTATCGAGAATTTGAGCGTGCATGGACATGCACCAGAAATGTTTTTAAATCAGATGGGATCAGGATTCAAGGTTCTCCATCAAACATGTAGAATCTGACTCCCTTAAGTAACAGAACACTGGGTGACCCTACTGTGGGTTTTTATTTGTTTTTAAGCAGAGACACAATGTAATACACATTGTGAAAACACTATGTTGCATAATTACCCATATATATACACATTACATTTCTATATGTATATATGTTCACATATAATTTATATTTATATTGTTCTTATATCCCTATAAACACATACATACATATATACATACATACACCTGTACAAACATAGATGTATATGAGGGTACTTTAAAAAGTTCATGAAAAATGGAGCGAAGATGATTTTAGATGATTTTTAAATGCAGAGCACAGTATAAAACATTGACAAAGAAATTACATATGTAGATATATAAGATTTATTTTTGTACATATACATGGACATAATATATATTTTTATATGTAATTATAATGCTGGTGGGTATTTCTTCAACTAGTTCATGGAAAATGCATATTATGTAAAACTATACATGGATTTTAAAAATTTTCACTTCAAAACGTGATACTTGGGCAACCAGCAGTTAGCGAAATGGCTATGTCGTTGGACTCCCACATAGTAGACCGTGGTTCGCGTTCCAGACCCGGTGGCTTACAGCCCACTCTGGGCACGTGTGCATGCGTGCCCAAGATCCCGAGAGGAGAATGAAGGATAAGGGAATGCAAGGTGGCCATCCCCTCTGGGAGGTGATTTCTCATTTTCTGTTTCTCTGTCTCTCTCTGTTTGTCTGGCGAGCACACGCACCCTATAGTGAAAAACCTCTAAAAAAAAATTGATACTTTAATTTCATCTTTCTACAAACATTTGAAATTTATATATATACAAAGGGCCAACAATACATGTAGAAAAATGAAATTCTAAACACACACATACCTACCTGTATGTATATATATATATATATAAATATATATATATATATATAATTTTTTTAATCTTTTCATTCTTGTTCATCCTCTGAGCAGATATTTGTGGAATAAATGCCAGATACCAACACTGTTATAGAATCTTGCAACAAATCAGTGAACAAAACAAGAGCTTATTTATATAGAACTCATATTCCAATGCAGAAAGGCAATAATAAACCCTAATTAAAACTAAATATCCAGCAGTGATAAACACTAAGAAAAATAAAAAGCCAAACATTAAATTATTTATATGAGATCATTAAAGACCACTCAAAGGAAAAGAAAATTAAGCTGAGGCTAGATTTTAAGGAGCTGGCAAAATAATAACAACCAAGAAGACAATCTAGGCAGGAATTTCAGTTAACACAAAGGCTCCAAAGTAGATACTAGCTTTTGCTCTGCTAAAAGATGAACATGGAGAACAATTTGGAGATTCCTCAAAAATCTACAAATAAAACTACCATATGATCCAGCAATCCCACTCCTTGGTATCTACCCAAAGGACAGAAGAATACTTAATTGGAAAAGTGCTTGCACATCGATGTTTATTGCGGCACTTTTCACGATTGCTAAGTCATGGAAACAACCCAAATGCCCATGAACTGATGAATGGTTAGAAAAACTGTGGCACATATACTCAATGGAATACTATTCATCCATTAAAAAACAACAAAACCCTGGCTTTTGATAGGAAGTGGATGAATATGGAAGACTTACTGCTGAGTGAAGCAAGCCATGCTATGAAGGAGAGGCATTGTATGTCCCCACTTAATATATACCAAGTGTCTGCACTCTATGACTGAAACTAATTGTCTAAAGGATATAGAAACCCAGTATATAGATGTAAATACCAGATATAGTGTGTGTGAAAGAGGAGGGTCTGAGGAAGGACATGTGGGGGAGGCAAAGCATTAATGGCACAAAGAGGTGTGGTATTATTTGTTGAAGATATTTCGTAGTTTTATCAACAGTACTAGGGAGAAATCTTCACCTGTTGAAATATCCACTTTGTAAGACAAATAATAGTGTGATTGACTATTTTTTTTCATTTCATTTTCAATCAATGAAATGAAAAAATAAATAAATAAATAAAAGACGAACATGAATAGTAGAGAGGGATTGGCACAATTATCATACTGGAGAATAAATTATTAGGAGTTGGTAGATTTAGAGAAAAGACTGAGAAACAAGACCAGATTATAGGATCTTGAAATAATCAAGAAGAAAAATAATGATCTTTTGTCCCAACTCAGCAGTATTAAAGTCATAAAAAGTGGATAGGATCTAGGTATAGTTGAGGCAATGTCAATTGATTCTTGAATGATTTTACTTTGGTCTGAGGGAAAAGAAGAAATAAGAAGTACCTTCATGTTTTTGTCTTGATTAACTGGAAGAATGGTGTAACCATTTGTTAAATAATCAGGTATATGCAAATTCTGTTGTTTATTTTTATCTTATTCTAGTATTTGTTAATTTGTCTATAGTCTGTCTATGAATTATGTTGAGTTTAATTAACCTTAAAGAATTCAGAAAATGATGGGACCAGCAGTTAGCATAATGGCTATGTCACTGGACTCCCATGTAGTCGACCACAGTTCGAGTCCTGAAGGCTGTGGCTTAAACTCATACTGGGCACATGTGCTTGCATGCCCAAGATCCCAAGAGGAGAATGGAGGAGAACAGATTGAAGCATGGCCATCCCCCTTCGGGGGTTATTTCTTACTTTCTGTCTGTCTCTCTCTGTCTTTCTGGCAAGTACACGCATCCTATAGCAAAAATATCTAAAAAAAAAAAAAAAAAAAGAATTGGGAAAATGAAAAGCACATGATTAATTTAATACTTATTATTGACCATGCAACTTTATGTAATTATTTAACTTTTTCCACCTTGGAGAAGCAGCTTTCAACTGTTTTTAAAAAAACGCGTTGTTGGGAACCAGCAGTTAGCATAATGGCTATGTCGCTGCCACGTAGTCGACTGCAGTTCGCGTCCCGGACCCAGTGGCTTAAATCTCACGCCGGGCGCGTGTGCGTGCGTGCCCAAGATCCCAAGAAGAGAATGGAGGAGAAGGGATTGCAGCATGACCATCCCCCCTGGGGGGTGATTTCTCGCTTTCTGTCTCTCTGTCTCTCTCTGTCTGTCTGGCAAGCGCACGTGCCCTATAGCGAAAACCTCTCCAAAAAAAAAAAAAAAGAGTAATATAATATCAAATACTAGGACATATTTAAAAACATTTAATACTTTCTAACGTTAGTTTTAAAATTACATAGGCAACATACCTTAAATATACCCTTCTCAAACATTAAATATATACCATGCACATACATATTTTTATTTGTACATACTACATAAGTATGAAGTTTCAAAAAAGTCATGAGATTTTTTGCCTATGGCTTTCTTTGCAAACATGCATCATGACTGTTCCAACAAGCCAATAGACAAAATATTGTAATCAATAGTCCCAGAGTAATGCAATTTCAGCAATGTTTCACTTCACTCAAATCTCTGCATCATTCTTTTTAATAAAAGCATGTGTGTATAAATAGTGGTATTTTAAAACTAATGCAACAAAGATATATATGAAGTAGAAATGAAAGATCTTAACACAAATCTTATTTGCTTCCTTAGGTATGCATATTATTAATATTTATGAATTTATGCAACATGAGTATACCTCACACTAGTCCAGCTGAGGATACTGTATACACTCTCATCATATATTTACTTTCAAATATTTTTCCATGCAGCTTATAGTTTGAAAAGAAATGAGATTTTAGGATGTATACGACATGCGGATATTTCTATGTACACATACACACACACAAATACATGAGTAAGTTGTCGCATAGTATTGTCGCATGGTAATGTAGTTTCAGTAATGTTTTATTATGTGTTTCAGCATATAAATCTCTAAATAATTCTTTTTATTTTAAGTAATATTTTATAGAATTAAACATTTTACTGTATTTTTCCACTTCTCTATTGTTACATGGGTCATTGGAAAAGTCACGATGTATTTTTCTGTCTTTCTATGCAAAAACGCATCATGATCCAATAATTTAGTTAATATTTCAGAATTTTAAAATACATACTGTGTTTCCAAACATTCTTCTACATGAATCTTGTAAATGTATAATGAACTCCAAGGTGCAGACTGGGAGGCCAGAACTGAAAAATAGTGACAAGTTGTCCACAAAGCCTATTCCAACTCACACTTCAAATAAAATGAAAGAGTGCCTGTTTTTTTCTTTTCTTTTTTTTTTTTTTTTGAAAGGTTTCAGCTATAGGGTGTGTGCGCTTGCTAGACAGAGAGAGACAGAGAGACAAAAAGTGAGAAATCACCCCCCAGGGGGGATGGCCACACCGCAATCCCTTCTCCTCCATTCTCCTCTCATGATCTTGGTCATACACGAACACGCGCCTGGCGTGAGTTTAAGCCACAGGGTCCAGGACTCGAACCGCGGTCAACTACGTGGGAGTCCAGTGACATAGCCATTACGCTAACTGCTGGTCCCAAGAGTGCTTGTTTTTTCTAAAAATAAAAGGTTATCGATTTTTAAAAATTTTTTTGTCTGTCTGATAAGTGAAAAGTATCATTTTAATGTTATTTAAGATTTGCATTTTCTAGTTCAGGTTGGGCCTGAGCTTGTCTTTTTGAAAATATTTTCCTTAGTTACTTTTAATACCTTTTTGGAATTCTTTGTTCATATGTTTCACACACTTTCCCTTTTTAATTTAATTTATTTTATACATCCAACCTGTATGCATCACTGAGCATAAAGTCAATTTATGCAACATGAGTACACCTCACACTAGTCCAGTTGAGAATACTGTATACGCTCTCATCAACAGACAACGGTCAGTTCATGGAGCTAACTTTTTCTCTTATTTTTAGCTTACCCAGAGTGGACCTTAACCGTTTGATGTATTTGTTGCAAAAGTTTTTCCCAATACCTTCCGAAGCTTAGATTTTGCTTTGATGCCATTAATTAAATGAAAATTTACATTTTTGCTCAAGAATTGAATTTTATAAAACCTTTTTTGGTGTTTAAGAAGAGTTTTCCATATTTTGAAAATGTTTTCAGTTTACACATTTTAGTAGTGTATTTCCTAACCTAAATCCTTGTTTTGCTCCTGCGGTTAATACTGATCAAGTGCTGCATATGTATGAGGCAGTGTTCTAAGCACTCTATGGGAATTAGGTTCATGCCTTTATCATCTGTATTTTATTAACTGTGCAAAAGAAAATTGCAGGAAGAAAATTTTTAGTACACTTTCTATTTTTTATTATTTGACTTAATTTTATTTGTTTATTTTATTTTGAACAGAGAGAGAGAGAATGAGAGAGAGAGAAGAAATGTGAGAAAGTGAGCTGCCAGGTCTGGGACTTGCACCACAGCCAGCTGTATGGGAGTCCAGTGCCCTTAACCACCACGCAAATTGCCAGACCCACTCTCTGTTTTTCATGAATTATGAAAAATGACAAGTTTTCTTATACATTTTAGATATGATGTGATAATGAAATAGGATAAAGATAATATCTGGAAATGCATTTATAAATTAATACATATATGTAGCAATGATTCTTTTTATTTAAATTATATTCTTGAAAATATGTAAATATTTTAAAACTAAATGATCACATTATAGTTAAAAATCTTCCATAATAATAATAATAGACGGCAATTAAAGCAATGAATTTTATCCTATATATAAATTTTTTCTTCCAAATTTGAAATACAGAAGCAATACATGGACTTGAATCCAGTAGTCAGTTATGTGGGACTCGGTTAACCTTAGCCAACACACCACCAGCTGGCCCTAATTGTCATAATTTTGATGTTTTGATGAGCAAAAGATACCTAGACAAAATGAGTTTTTTATTTATTTTATCCTAAGTGAAAGTATGGCAAAAAGTTTAAATGGACAAAATATTTCTTAGTGATATTATATATCTGATCACATTACATTTCATTGGAGTGAGATAGGAATAGGTGTAGATTTTAAGATGTGTTCTACAATGCATTTATTTTTACACGACCTATGTAAGATTTTTGTGCTTTCTTTTCCAGGAAAGATGGATCAAAAGAGCCAATAGTGGAGATGAGAACAGAAGATGAAAGAATCACTAATCATGAAGATGGGAGCCCAGTAAATGAGCCAAATGAAACCACACCGTTAACAGAACCTGAGTATGTAGCTTGAAACACTTGTTTTGTATAGGTATTTGTAAAACAATAACACACTATCATTATTTGTAATATATATTTACAAATGTAGACATTTGTAATAGAATCATGTTGCTTCTTTTTAAATCAAAATATATATTAGTATGGAAAATCCATTTTAAAATGAAACATTTTACATGAATATTTTCTAGCAATGTCAGATAAATTCTACTGTAATCATAGCTTTATCACTTTGTGCAAAAGTATCTGAAAGAAGTATGTAAGAGAGGTGGATTGTCAACACTACTCTTGCTCTCTAAGAAAGCAATGTTGGGGGACAGTTGGAGGTGAGGTGGTTAAGGTAACTGGATCCCACAAGGCAAAATGTGTGGTTTAAATCCTGGACCCACTGTAACTTGAAAGACTCATAAGGTGCATGAATACACAATCCTGAGAGGGGCGTATAGGAGAAGCTATTGTGGCATGGCCATCCAGGCAGGAGAATGATTCCTCTCTTTCGTTCTCTCTGTCTGTCTCCAGCAAGTGCATGTGCTCTATAGCAAACAAAACAAAACAAACAAAACAAAACTTCAAAAAAGAAAAAAGGGAAGTGATGCTTTCAAAATGTAATTCATTCTTATTTAAATAAAGATGGGTCATGAAATTAGTCATTGCTTTGAATATAAACATGGCAGGGAACAATACCAAAGAACAAGAGAAAATATTGTTAAACTCCATTAGTTCAATGAGTATGTAGCACATGATGCTTGGTCTTCGTTTAAGACTGTGTCATTTCTTTCATTTTCCTCCTCAGCTCCATTAAAACTATGGCAGACAGTTCATTTACATGTACATAGGTAAATGTGTGCCTAGATTTATGCTTGTGGAAATTAAAATAATTGAAACTGAAAGCATTATACAGAGTTAATACATTCTATTGAATTCATTCGATACTAACAAAACCATGGGTATCACACTCTACTGCTTCCCAAAAAGATTTTCATATTTTACCTTTTTTAAAAATAATTATCTTTCTTTCTAGCATTCTCTTGCAGAATAACCTGATGTAAGTTTCTCATCCTAAATTAAGGGTTGTTTACATAGTTAAAGAAATATTTTGTTTCTGAAATCCCATCCAGTTGCTCTCAAGGGATTATATTATTAATATTTAGAGAAAATACTACTTTATAGCTAAAATATCAGTATAAATCCTTAGGCAAATTTTAGTGATTGCATTAAGAGATCATTAATTGAAGTTGTATTAAACTATCATGAGTGGGTTCTGTAATTTCACCCTTAGAAATCAGAAATCTTTTCAATGAAGGAAAATGTTGCATAACAAAACAAATTTCTGTTTATCAATTAACACTTAAAATTAGTGTATACAGAAGCTAGTTAAGAAAATGCTCCATCATACAACCAGGAGATATATATATATATATATATATATATACAATTTAAAAATGAGATCATTAATTGAAGTTGTATTAAACTATCATGAGTGGGTTCTGTAATTTCACCCTTAGAAATCAGAAATCTTTTCAATGAAGGAAAATGTTGCATAACAAAACAAATTTCTGTCTATCAATTAACACTTAAAATTAGTGTATACAGAAGCTAGTTAAGAAAATGCTCCATCATACAACCAGGAGATATATATATATATACAATTTAAAAATAAATTACCAGAGGTCAAGCGTGCTCACCAGTAGGAGAGACAGAGACAGAGAGGGGAAGTGAAAAAGTACCTGCTATGTGAATGGTCACATCAGAGTCTCTTTTTTTTTCTCCATTTCTCCATTTCTCCTTCTTTTTTGGATTTTAGGCATGCACACACACACACACACACACACACACTTGACATGTTTCTCAAGCCTCTAGATATAGGACTTGAACTATGTAATCAGACATGTGGGATACAGCAACTTTAAGCACCATGCCATAGGCTGACCTATAACTGGGCTATATTCTGGAATGGAGAAAAGATGATTTAATAACTAATCTAGGTCTAAATATTAGAAAAGAAATGTGCGTTAATACATGTAATGAACAGTAATGTTTTAAAAATGATTTAAATAAATATAAGTAGACAAAATTATATATGCAGATACACATCATCCAAAGAATTGGTTGAAATTACTAGTTAATTAAATAGGAAAAGAGCATTTAACAGGCACAAAAATGCAAGTATCTTTGTTAAAAATGATTTATATAATAGTATCTTTGATTTAACACCTGCTGCATTAACGCTTTGAAAAAGCATATTATATGCCTTATAGTTGTACAACAATAGCATACAAAAATAATTTACAAAATATAATGAAATTGGTAAAATAAATAAAAATTCAATGAGTAGGCACTATATTAAGCATTATGCTAACCTTCTATTAGAGCTCTAAATTTTTCTATTTTTTGATGCCAGAAGTGTCCCGTTGTTTGTGTAATCTTTTATTTTCAATGTTTCCATCTAGTGCTTGGACATGAGAGAAAGAAAGCATTGCACATGCACTATATATAGCGGCTATGAGACAGAATTACTATAAATGCATGCCCTGGTTGGTACTAAGTAGTTGATACTTTCTTCCCAGAAATGGATCTCACTCGTTTGTGTGACTTACTTTTAATTGGTTAGTTTTATATGATAGCTTCGATCTTCAGAGTACAGAGGTTTGCTCTTCTCATTCCAATGTGTAAAATATTTTCTATTATATAATTGTTTATTATACTGCATTTTTCAAAGAAAAAAAAGACAACACACTCAGTAGAAAGAATAAAAATGGAATCAGGGATTTATTTTTAACTGACAGCCAATAGAAATCCTTTAGTGAGATCGTGACAATTTGACAGCATTATGATTAAACTGAATAAAGGTGAACCATCTAGTTCTACCGCTGCCGCTTTCAACATCTTCTTGGCTGGGAGGCTCCTTAAATGGTAGGAGGCAAAGCCCTTATTTTGTGGAGAAACATTTCCAAAATGGAGTTAAGGTTTTTCTCTTACTAAAATATCCTGTCATTGTCAGCTGTTAAAATAGGCCTTCTATTTGTATGTTTCATGGCTAGTTTTTCTCAAAATCATCATTAGAATTCTTGTAATTCCACAATTGTGAGTTTACAATGTGGAAGAGAATTCAAGTCTAGTCCACTATTGCTTCAAGAGTAAATTAACCTGAAAACCCAAAGTGAATTAGATTGCTAAAGGATTTCCCTGGCACTGTTGAAATAAATTACAAATAAATTCTAGAGGAAACGTAAATAGTGACATACACTGCCTCTCAAAATATTGAAGGAAAAACCATGGAGGTGAATTAGAACTCTTATCTTAATCCTCCTGATGTAGACAATAATATTTAATAAAGAGAAGGAAATTATTCCCTCAAGTCAGAAACACAGGCGTAATGGTAAAATATTGAATTGGAAAATGGTAGAATAAAACTGGAAATCTTCATTTAGTAACATCATAATATTTGTGATACTATCTTAATATTAATAAATAAATATTGTTATTACTCTATAGGTTACAGTTAGAAACAATTCTCAGAAAATTTGCTCAGGGGACCAGCAGGTGGCATGGTTATTAAGGCATTGGACTCTCACTTGGCTCACTGTAGTGATAATCCTATACCGCATAGCTAGAAAACCACCACGCACATGTGCACGCATACCCTCAACCAGAGAAGAGAATGGAGATTAAGGGGCTATAGCTTGGCTATCCCCTGTGGAGAGTGATTTCTCACTTTCCTTCTCTGATCTCTCTCCCTTTGGCAAGTGCATAAGCCTTACAGCAAACTTAAAAAGAAAAATATAGTGCTCAGAAATGATATGAAAGTAACAAGAAAAATATATTAGGGAAGAGGGTACCAGCAGATGGTGAAATGGTTACATCTCTGGACTCCCACATGGTTGACTGTAGTTTATGCCCTGGACCTGGAGGCTTGAAACTCACACCAGGCACATGTGTGTGCATGCCCAAGTTCTGAGAGGAAAAAAAATCACCCCCCAAGGGGGTGATTTCTCACTTTCTGTCTCTTGTCTCTCCAGCAAGCACATGCACCCTATAGCAAAAAATCTCTCTAAAAAGGAAAAGAATAAATAGTGAAGAGCCCAAAGAATATACCTGATAAATATAAAACAATGAGAAAATCCTGAAATACATTCATCTCAATTTAGTAATAAGGAACATCATTAATTGACCCAGTTTCTCAATTTTTGATAACAGAATTTTGCAGAAACTATTTATTGTTTTTACTTGAAAAACTCGAATACTAATAAATCATGCATTTGACATATAAAATATTTATGTCTGTTTACATTCCAAACACCTGATTATATTTTCATATCAATAACTATTTATAAAAGATAAGCCACCCTATACTAAACATTTTGGTGCACCTAAACCTATAGATAAACTTTTATTCAATATTCTGTGCTACATTTTTACAATAGACATTGTTAATTGTCTTCTTCATTTTAGTTAAATGTTCTATCAATGTGATATTGTTTTAGCAAATTTAATTGGCTTTCTTCCTAATAATATTTCCATTAACAAACAGATATATTTTGAGATATCTCTTAAAGTGACTTTCAAATTAAGTATATTATTTTCCTATTTTTTCCCAGAAAATTGCCTTTAAAAGAAGAAAATGGAAAAGAAGTTTTAAGTCAAGAAACTATAGAAATTAAAGTTTCTAATGACATCATCCAATCAAAAGAAGATGACAGCAAAGCATAACGACAACATTACAATGGCTTGAAGAACACTACAAAGATCATTCGGATTGCAGTGACCCTATGACCAAAACTATTCCATTGACCTTAATTACTTGGGAAACTTCTAGCTTGGAATAGCTTGTACACATATACATATGAGATCAAATACTCCTGCCCATGGTCCATTTCCTTCTGTTGTTGTTGTTGTTGTTGCTGTTGTTGTGTTTATTTTGTTAATAATTTCAATATAGAGACTTGACTGGCACCAATTCTTGGGTATCTATTTGATTTTATGATGGAAGTACTGCAATTTATTTATGGTTAAAGTGCTCTATTACTTAAGAACTGTATCTTACACCACGACCAAGTAGATTTCAACCTCTCTAGCAAATAGGGGTATAAGAAAAAGCAGAAAACGAAAACTTTGTGAGCTAAGTGTGTAAGAAAGCTGTGCATGTTTATAAATCCTATCTTGGGGAAATCGATGATTAAAGTGTCTTTCAGTTTAAGATGAAGGCACTTAATAAAAGTTAGACTTTTTATCAGGGGAATTTCAGGAAACTTGGGCTTGAAAGAGCCAGTTATCTTTAGAGATATTAAAAATGAAGCAAAGTTTGGAGAACTATTTTCAAGTTATGATTACAGTGAATTTTCAACATTGATTTTTGGTAGAATAAAGTGCCAGATCAAAATTGTTACCCATTTGAAAGAATATTAAGTTGTGTGTAAAATTAGATTAGACTCTCTAAATCTTTTTCTTTTTATATATGCCATATTCGCTCACAATGAATTACACACACAAAAATAAATGTATTGCAAGTAAAAATAATATTGACTCTGCCCTCAGCTTCAAATAAAGTAAATTGAAATGGGAATTATATCAATACGGTGTCTCAATATTTTTATAAATATAGGATTATCTTTTACGTTTTAAATAATTTATCAAATATCAAGTCTTAGTGTTCAAATACTTCAAATCATATCCTCGTATACATTCTTAGCCCATAGCTTTAATCTTTGTTTGAAAACTGATTTTCCTAATGTTACAGGTCCTTCATTAAATGTAATTGGCTAATGGAAGTTAAAACTTGAAAATGATTAACATTTAATTGTGCCATAAAGGTGTAAATAGTAATTGAATTTACTCTCTTTATTTTTTTCCCCTCTGAATGTTGTAGTTACGAGTCATTTTAGGATTTTGATAAATAATTTTGGTTGAAGAAATTCCTTAACTATTCTACACAGACTTTCTAGTATCACTCGTTAGGGCCTACAGCAGAATAAAATACTTATTAACTTCCAAGCTATGCAAGCTCCCAGAGGCAAAAGACTAAAATATGATTTAACTTATATGTAAGGCAAACAAAAAGTATCTATGATAACAAATACACATACCAATTGGGAGCAGGTTTTAGATTTTCTTAATCTAGCAAGCCAAGGGTTTCTTTAGGCCACATCCCATACATAACTTTTGGGGCTTCCTGCGGTATTACAGCTTAGACATTGACTGGTTGGGTAATACATTAGAACAGAACACTAGAGGACTTTTTAACCGTTTAGAGCAACTTATTTGGGAGTGGCTCTTCAAAGAGATAATTTAATGAATATTAAATATAATATTAATACCACTCATGAATACCTTTATTTACAAAATGCTTGAAGCTATCTGCCAAGGAGAGACAATGAAATAATTTTATACTATTCCTCACTTTTCTGGTTGTCAGCAGGACATAATTTGCCCATCTGCATTTCAAGGCACCAGTCTCCACATTGTCATTATCAAAACTTGCAGGTTATAATTCAGGATTTTCTCCTTGCTATCCTTTCTATTATATGCTGAAGAAAAAGAACACAATTCCCAGGCCAACCTAGGAATTTAAATACTATCTAAAACAAATCAATTAGATTATTATAATTAACTTGATTACCCAACTGGTCTTTGATGAATTTGACTGTTGCTGTTGAGTTCATGTTTGTCTGATCACCCGTTCATTTTATTTTGCTGTTTGTTTTGTACCGATGTGCTAAAACTAGTCAAAATACTTGAACTTGTTTGTGCAAAGTGAACAAGCTTAGCGAAGTGTCCATGACGCAATAGCCATGAATGCTATTTTTTCCTGGATAGAGCCACATAATTTTAAGCTAATGATGGTGAAGGAATTAGGATGAAAAGAGAAAGCAATTTCGCATGTTTACTTATTGTTACATTTGTGCTATTCTGCAAGAACAGAGAAATCATAATAAAAGAAACAAAATATTTTTGCGTTTTCTCAATTTGGACGTTGTTTCTCTTATTTCCTTGTAATTTCTATGTAAAGAATTGACTAAAATATTTCTTTTATATACATACACACACATACTGTTCATTTTTTGCCATTCATGTGGAGTGACGACCTGAAATTAACAGATAATCTGGACCTAGTTGTAGACAATTTCAAGTACACTATTTCTGTTGTATGAGTGGTCCTTATCTCTTTTCCTTGAAATTCATGCCATGAAGGAGCAAGGCAATACTGTGATTTTTTTTTTAACATTTCAATGAAATACTCCAAATTACTCTATTTGTAAGTTTTCAAATAAGAGACATCCTGTAGTAAATTGTAAAATATGAGTAGAACTGAAATAACCTGTTTCTTACTTTTCATTCTTATCTTAGACTAAAAATATCCATGCAATTGTATAAAGTTATTTTGCTGTCTGAGAGTAACCTTAAGCATTAGTACAAAATGTCAAGAGTTGACCAAATATAATGATTGTTAAAATATTTTTAACCTAATATTGTTTTAAACCAAGCAACAAAGATATAATCAAAAACATTGGCATTTCTTCATAGATTATGTGCAATTAGACAATGACAATCTATATTTAAACACCTATAGGAAGAATAGTAGTATTAGAATTCTAACTCTTATTTTGTTTCAAAATTGACACAAATTAATGTGTCAACATGTTTTATAGTGATATGCGAAGAAATTAATTAAAAATTGCAATTTCTAAAGATTTATTTATTTTTTTGTGAGGTAAGACATATTCCATTCTGTTTTCACTAATATTTATCATTAGTATAATGTTTCTTATGTTTTCTTTTACTTTTAATATTAATATCTCTGAAATAATTTTTCAAAGCTATTTGATTCAGTAAACTTCATATAAATCTTAACCTTCTAACTAAACATTTTATTAAATAGAAAGATTTTATAAATCAAAATATTTATTTGAATGCCAACAATTAATTGTAACTTTGCAATGACACCTTTTTTTTTTGCTTATTTTAAATAATTAAGGTATATTTGTGCCTTTGTATTTGCATGATGGTTTGTTTTATTAAAAGGAAAAAAAAACTACAACTGCCATCATTACTCATATATTTTGCTCATATATGTGACACTCAAATGATACTGTTTTATTTACATTCAGTGGATATGCTCAATTCAACCTACATTACCTTGAATATAAAATCTAAATGTAACCAATTCAGCTACATAATTTGTTCCTACTCATGACAAAATTATTCTATTTATACACACACTCAAAATAGTCTTAATTTGTTCTGCATTGTTTTTCTAAACAATAAAAACATTCAGGGTATTGTTGAAAATGAGTTTTACCTGTCATAAGACAAAGACAGCAGACGACTTTTAACAATGAGAAAGATTACCATGGTATGTATCACTTGGGTCTTTCTTGTGCCTGTTGATTTGTATATTTAATCTGGGTTAAGAAACAATCCTTTATTGTTTATGATAAGATAAATCTGATAAAAGTGTCTACATCTAAAGTGGGAGAAAAAATATTAGCCATTTGTTAACTTAAGAAATATTGGAAGAACATATTATAAGTATTTATTAAATTTACAATATTGTTTTTCATGGAAAAATGTAAATGCTCATTTTAAATCCCTCAATCAAGTTTTTTTACATAATTTTGTCCAGAGTGTATCGTATTTTATGAATAGCTAAATTTTTTAATGGAATCGTTAGCATTACTTTTCTTTAGAGAGAAATGTTTGCATCTTCTTACTAACCCTTTGAAGCACTTTATATATATATATTTTTATTTCAGTTTCTTTTATACATTGAATCACATACGTCACTAAGCTTGCAAAGTGAATATTCCAACATGTATACATTTCTCACCAGTCCATTATTTTGTCTTTCTCACACTGAAATTGCATATGGATGTGCTGACATATGCTAAAATTAAATTATAGATCCTCACTAAAATGCTATATTTCAGTCCTGAAGTAGAAATCTTTCAGGAAAATATTCTACTTATGGACTTAATGATGTTCTGAGATGGAACAATTGTATCTATTAATGAGAAAGTTATAAGAGGGCCTAGAAATAGTAGTGGGTGAACAGATATCATTTTCTTCCAAATTTCACACTTCCTTTTTAAAACTTGCATTTACTCAAGTAGATGCAGCAATTTAACAACATTACACAAGAATCATCACAGATTACTTCCCCCCGTATAAAAGTCAGAGGCTTTCATATATAAAATGGTAAATATTTATTCAATAACATTATATTCTTTTAAAAAAGTTCATTATTTACTATAGAATTCTACCAATAACAAGTATATTAATTGATATTACCTCTTTAACTTTTTTTTACTATTTTTAGAATTTTGGGCACAAAATGTTCTTTAACTTTTTTTTACTATTTTTAGAATTTTTGTCTCAAAATGTGCATAATTATTATTTTTTAAATTGCCCACATAAAATTAAATAGTGCTACTTTCCTTTTCCTTTTGGAAAATGAAAATATGTATCTTTTGGCATCTGATTTTAGCTTTCCGTGAAAGAGACTAAGCAAAGCTATGTCTGTTGGAGCATTTCAGATCACAACCAGACATGGGAGAGTATAGGAAGAAAGAAAAAGAGGATCAGAAAGGCAAGAGGAATTCCTAGATGTGGAATAGGTAAGAAGGACTTAAATGTGGAAAGTGCTAGACCAGGGACTAACTAGGACCATTATTTAAATGAAATGTACAGCCAATTATGATGCAAAGAATAAAACAGGGAATCCAGAAGACAAAGTTAACAGAAATCAAACCTATAATTCAATTTTGCAAATAGTATTTTTCAGAGTAACACGCATACTACAAAACAACTGGTACTGTTAAGAGCAAACGTATTTGTTCCAACTCTTAAAGGAATGTATGTGGTTTAGCGTTTGCTTCTAACTCTCGTTAGAAATATGTGAACTTCTTAGAAATATAGGTTTAAAGAAAACATTTTTTTGGTATGTGAATCCTATCCTGTATTCAGAATGCATTAAAACAAGCTTTTATTTTTACTGACTTATATATTCATTGAAATACTATATTCTTAATTTAGCTACCACAATGTTTTCTTATTGTTTCAGTATAGTATGTCCCTATGAAATGCTGTATATATATGTCTAAACTGTAAAAATTATACTGCAAATGTTGAAGTTTTGTATTTATGAGAGACATTGAAAGTATGGCTTACAGTATATCGAAATTGTCACTCTTCACCATTTGTATATTAATAGTAAAGATACTTTTACTTTAATGAAGTGTTGCATTTTATGTTTATTTCAAATCATATCTATGCAAAGAGTGAGCTTATGACTTGACAAATACTTTTTTCAAATAATTGTACATATCTTTAGATATTCAAAAG